CAAAGGCTCATCGTACTCTCCAGATCTCTCAAAAGGGCTCTGGGTTCAAGTCTCTTCGTCCTGCAGGATGAGCAGCACGTCGTTGCCCAGTATCTCACAAGTGCCTCTGGCAGCAAAGGTGTTGCAGTTACAGTCGCCTTACGCCTTGGGATGGCAAAGATCATGACCGGTGTGACTATCCCTGTCCTTGCAGGAGACCCTGCTTGTGCTTGATTTGGGTGCTAACAAAGTTGCTCTTGGACTGCGCTGCAAGATTAGCAGGATAATGGCTGGACAGGGGGTTTTTGAGGGATGTTTGGAATTAACCACGCATCAGTCGCTTTTCGCGGTCTGTTGATCTGAGAACCCGAAGCATTATAGCTGTTAAGCCGTGAAAGAAGGCACGAGAAGAAGGGGCTTCTACATGATGTGTGCATGCAAACGCTTATGACTGCGTAAGCACAGGCTGAAGTTCCGTACCGATGGTTCAAAGGTCTTAAATCCTCAAATTATACTCAAGCATCCTACCAGAGCGGTTAGAGCATTCAATATCAGGTTGCAATACTGAATGTTGCTTGCAGCTCTTACTGGCTCTCGCTGGTTGTGTATGATTGGCATGGTTGGCCGCCGGGGTGCCAAGCCGGCGCCACTGTGGGGACGAGCGTCAGAAGCACAACGGACCATCAGCTAGGTAGTCTATGCGTATTTTACGTTTTCATGTATTGGCGTCAAGACGATCTGACTTATAAATAAATAAATAAATATACATATACATATATATGTATATATACATATGCTTTTGTTCCTCACAGGCTGTCAAAGGCCGACCTAGTCACGATCTTCATCCTTTGGACCCTGGGTGGGGACCTTAAAACTATCCCCGAAAAAAGGGCGACTCTGCATCCAGCGAGTCCACTTGCTCGGAAGTCTAACCCTTGACCCTAAGCTGCAGCTGACGGAGGTGTGCACTGGGCCGTGACTCAGTTCACTCCTGCTGTGGCTTGGAGAATACTTTGGGTACCTACAGATCTCTTTGAGTGTAGAGGTGGTGGTGATGAAGTGGCTATGTGCTCGTAGTAGTTGTCGCCGTCGTAGTACGAGCAGGCAGCGGCAGCAGTAGTAGTAGTAGTAGTAGTAGTAGTAGTAGTAGTAGTAGTAGTAGTAGTAGCAGTAGCAGCAGCAGCAGCAGCAGCAGCAGCAGCAGCAGCAGCAGGGGGGGCGTAGGAGTAGGAGTAGGAGTGGGATTAGCAGTAGCAGTAGCAGCGGCCAGTAACAGTACCAGCAGCAGGAGCAGGAGCATGTTCCTAAGATTGCGAACGACGAATATTTCTGCCCGACGAACAGGAAGATAGAAAAGGCCCCTAAACCTGAAGCGTGGGTGGTTGTCGGGTAACTTTTAGTACTGATGAAACCCATCGCCTGATGATCGGTGATACCTGCGCCTTGCGCAGTGCGAGTCGGAACCTGAACCTTGAAGCCAAAAAGCTCCAAATACAGGGGTCGCTAGAAAGATTATACTCTTCATTAGGCCCTCTTCTTATATACTTCTATACCACTCTACTCTAACATACCCCCAAAGCCGTGTTCTATCTGCTGAAGCCCTTCTACTAGAGCCTTCAACTAGGACCCTCGGCCGAGGCCATGGAGGTGAACCCAATGAATGTGGCCGAGCGGATGTACGCAATTGTGGTGATCTTCTCTGGGCTGGCTCCTGGGCCATAGACAGTCGGAGAAACTTCGTAAAGTTGGGGCTCCGTTTCGCAAGTCAAGCAGGGCCCGTAAGTTTCAGGGTCCTACTACCTATGGCTCTATATTGGGTTTCCTTGAGTTGTTGAAACTCCTGAATCCATCTCTCGATGCAGGAGGCCTGCCTTTGAAAGGAGGGGCCAGGGAAGGACTTTAGGCTCTACGGTTTACGGTTTTAAGTGCCTGGTTCAGTTGCTCCTGGTTATGATGAGGTCATGGTCATGCGCTTCACGAGCACATGCCGTTTTCGTTGATTTCATGGTCACATTTCATGGTGGTGGTAGCTTTTCTCCGAATCAAGGCTCGATGGAAGTTGTGAAGGCACGGAGAAACTAGCACGAAGCATCAGGGACGCATAAACTAGCAAGACGCCGCCTTTGGTGCTAGAAAGTGTGATGGGGTCTCAAATTAAATGCTGAACCCTGAACCCAAAACCCAAGCAGCGGGTGTGACAAAATCTCAACTGGAGACCGCATCTGACTGAGCCACAAGGTCATGTTTTCCTCCTTTGTCAGCTCTTTGGCCGCAGAGCCTCCAGGGCTTAGGGATTTAGGGCTTAGGGGGGCCTATATCATTGTGGGGCCGGGGCTTTTGTCACTTCGAAGCTTTGCTCCGAAAGACCTAAGATCTACCTGTAGCCGAACAGACCTACTTTCTCAGGGGTCCTTACTTTGGTTTTGATAGTAGTTGATTGAAAAGGTGGGTCTTCTAGGCCATAGGTAGAGCCCTAAAGCTGTTAAGCGTTGAATCACCGTCTTCATTCAAAAGGCTTACGGTTTAGCAAATGAGGTAAGTCATTCAACCCTAAGCCCAAAACCCGTAAGGCTCCGCGCAGGCTTCTCCTGGCCACCCGGCCTTGCGTAAGCTCAGGACGATTGCGCAGACGTAAAAAGGAGCTCAACAAAACCCAAAGGCCCACCACGCTTAAACAAGAATAGCCTGTAAAAAGCGACTAAACCCTTGAGGCCTTTGGGAGGAGGCCTCGAAGTAGCCCTTAATTGGATGTTGGAATCATACAAAGGTTCAGGCCTTCGGATGCACTTCCCGTCTTCTTCCGGCTGTGTCGGCGTCCCCCTGGTTTGTGCATCCTCATGCTTCTCGCCGTGGCAAGGCAGTATGACTAGCGCCATGAACTTGTTGAACAAGCTCACCTTTGAGCAGCGCCAGAAGGGTGCAGCGCTGCGACAGTACATCGCAGACAACCGGGCGCCTTGTCATTGCATTTGGGGTAAGTTTTAGGTTCGTCGAAGGCGGTCAGCATCGTGAGGGCCCTTACTTGATCACGACTTTTCACAAAATGTTGAGAGCAGCCTGCTTTCCACACTGGAGGTTCTTACCCTGCCCTGCTCTGCGCCTTTGAGGTTCCATCTGGAAATTGGCATTTCGCATGTCCCAGCTGTGACTCCCCCATCACCTACTACCAAAAGAGTAATGCTACCCTACACCCCTAAACCCTAAACGGTGACTATGGAAGGAGTTGCTATGGTCGCTATTGTCGGTATAACCTGTATGTTCCACAGGCGTGTTCGTGGCTATGCGTGACATGCACTTTGTACTGATCATGGCTGCCAGTTGTATTCTTGCACCTTGTACGTACTTCATACCCACGAAAATTCAGTCCATGATCGTGACCAGCGTGAGCTTGGCCAAGGTTTCTCTAGAGCTACTGTTTTGCATCCAGAACTATCAGCGGCCCCTGGGCAGCAAGCACCGACAGTGCTCTTGAGATGGAGAAAGCCTAATCACCTATACTCTTTTGGGGGTTCTTTGTTGTAATTATAGTACGATGAACCCCAAAACCCTATTCCAATTATTAAGGCCCCTGTATTTTGTGCATATCTACATCATCTGTATGTGCATATACGTGTGTGTGAAGCTTCAAGCCTAAACACGAAACCCCCTCGCACATCTAGCATGACTAGGCCGTGACTAGGCTTTGATCCGAGAACTGGTGATGTCGCGGGGTATCGTCGTTGAATGGTACCCAAGCCTTCAGTGGCCGTGCCCCTACATACAAACATACATGCGGACATGCACACATGCACACCTCCATCCATGCATCTATCCTTCATACATACATGGGTACAGAGAGAGAGAGAGAGAGAGAGAGAGAGAGAGAGAGAGAGAGAGAGAGAGCGATTTTAAATACATGTTGTAGATACATGTAGATTTCACGTCTGCAGCCGAAACAGGAGCAAGAAACCTGGAGCCCATAAGGTGAGGTTGAAAGTTGAAAGCACAGGGTCACTGAGTACCCAGATGAAGCAGACAGGTTTCCAGTGGAGTGTATCAGGGAATCGAGGTGTCAGTTGCTTACTGACAGCGGGTACAAATATGGATGTTCTGAAGATCAGCTTTGTTTGCGAAACCCTGAGCCTTAAACCGCTCACCTGGCCATAGACTACGGCTGGATTGTAAGCAGTGTCCGGATCCTGAGATTCAAAAACTGAGAGTTGCGAAGCAGGTCATGCACTCCATTGTTTTGCCCAGTTGATCGGCACCTTACTTCCTTCTGAGCCTACACGACCCCACGAGCTTTCATAAGTTACATCTTCAGCCCCCGAATCTGGAATCCATGTGCTCCGGATCCCAAACTTGTTTCTCCTCCTAAGCCCAAAAAGGCTCGATCGGTGCCTAGCAGGTCGGCAAAGGCACTGGAGAGGAGGCGTCTGCACGAGTCGGATGTCGCAGCCTGCCTTGATCTTCCAGAAATATAGGGCCGCAAGGAAGTAATGCAGAACCCTAAGACATTCGTAACATTACTTACCCCCTGCTTATAGTCCCACAGACAAAGCATGCATTATGCCATTTTTCGAAACCTCTGATCTAAATGTTCAGTAGCAAAAAAGTAGAGCAGGCTCCTGCAACGACTTGTTTGAAGGTTTGGAATTACGGCAGAATCCGCGGCATGCCCATGACCATCAATTGACAAACCAGGTGAAATGACACGAGCGGTTTTTTGCACCCAAGAGCCCTCATCCAGAGCTCAACACCCCTTCATTAAGGAATTTAGCGCAATTCACAATATGAAAAGTGCAATCTTTAAGCAACATGTCTTGGGCTCTCTGGGAACCCACAACCCTGATCTGCGCCCCCAGCCATGCAGGAATCAAGACAAAACAAGCGAAGCTTTCTGAAACCTAAGCTAACACCTTAAACCTAAGCCGCAAACCTTAAATCCCTAAACCCCCAAACCCTAGACCCTGAGCCGCCTGAGCCATTTTGGCTCGAAGATCAAGCCTTCCGCTTCCTTCCCAACTCGTGTCAACGCCGCCATGGCTGCCAAGGCCCGCGCTGCTTTCCCTGCGGCCCTGCTTTTGATGATGGCAGTCATGCTCTTCCGGAGCCTGACGTTCGTCTCCCCGACGCCAGCATTCCGCACGCAGCGAGTGGTGGCTGTCCTGCGACAGGCGGAGGCCACGGCGGAGACTGCGGGAAAGGTGGCGGAGGTCATCGCTGAGCAGCTCGGCGTGGACAAGGAGAAGGTCACCCGTGAGGCGACGTTGTCTGAGCTTGGCGCAGACTCGCTGGACATCGTCGAGTCTGTGATGGCCCTGGAGGAGGCCTTCGACATGGAGCTCCCTGACGAGGAGACCACCACGTTGAAGAACGTCGGCGATGTCATGGATCTGATCCAGAGCAAGCTCTAAATTGCCGGCAGCCGGGCTGAGGCTGATACGAAGGAACGCAGGGTGACGGTTTAGGGTTTTCGGGTTTAGGGTTTTAGGGTTTATGGTTTAGGGTAATTCTTTCTTCCACTTAGTGCAACAGGAATGTTAGGATGGAGAATTCCTTCGTGCCAGCTTCCTTCCTTGAAACCCAGCACCTAAGTTGCTGCAAGGAAGGGCCGTGCGAGTCCATGTTCCTAGGGTGAGGACATCTGTGGTTGTGGAATCCGCTCCACCACTTTCAACGATTAGTTTGGGAAGGGCACGAGCAAGCGTTTGAATGAAGCAGCATAGAGCTTTCTGGGTCCGCAGGTGTCCTCACCCAGAGCGCAAACAAAAAGCACCCGAAGGAGAAGCGTCTCGAGGCTTTTCCCAGGTATCTCAACTCCAAGACGGGGAATAATTACAGACAAGTTCTCACCGAATACTTGCGTGCTATAGTAAGAAAGGTTTCGAGTCCGATCTTTTGGAGGGGGGAGACGATTTTTCTTGGATATCAGCTGAGGAAGAATGGCTTCTCAGCACGACGTGGCGAGAAAAAAAGACCGAATGGGCGAACGGGCTTCTAAGATACTAGAGTCACTAGAGTGATCACAGTGACGTTGCTTCGAAACAGTCCTTCCCTGTCGGGAGAGGCGCTACCCTCTGTTGATTGCCCGATAGTGGGTGAAGACGACATATTGACTAAAGCTCCACCCAAATTCTCGTGGCTTGCTATCGTTGGTTCTTGCTTGAGCCCTAAACCCTAAACCCTGAAAGAAGCCATTGCACTTCAAAAGTCAATCCTAAACCCTACACCAAATTCTTAACACTTCGGGCCCCTGTGTCAAGCTTTGAGCTCTTTGTGGTCCTCCTCTGCAGCTTCGACAGCCCAAACTCCGAATCTTGGAGCTACGACCCCTCCTCTGCACAGAGCCCCAGTGGGGAGTTGTTCGGAAGCGTTTTCGGCTTGAGTTTTTTCAATGCTTGGGTGTGACAAGTGGTGCTCGTGGACACCAAACGAGGAACCCTCGATCCTAGAACCTTTTCTTGAGCAACTGCGAGCGCCTCCTGACAGAAGCTTGCGGAGCCAATGAGCTTCCGTTCCCACCGAACCAAGACCCTAAACCCTAAACCCATAACCCATAAGCCCTTGACCCAAAACCCAAGGCCCTCTAAATTGAAGCCTAAACCCCTAAATCCCCAAAGCAGACGACCCCAGCCCTCCCCCAAAAGCGCAATCCCAGGCAGCCTTCAAGAACCTGCCGGAGGACTACCTGGGAGCTCGGGGGAACCCTAGGGTGCAGGATGTACCTTAACCTTCCTGAACCACCCAAAAAACCTACCTTTTTTAGGGTTCCTTATTGATTATGACTTCCCTACAGAAGTCCTTAAGCAGGTAGGCTATGTCGGGTCTAGGTAGAGTTTGGGTTTTCGGGTGTCGAATGTCGGTTTCAGGGTTCAGGGTGCAAGGTAAGGGGCGTCAATTGCAAGAGTGGTGTGTCTTGAGTGTTCTTGGATACACATAGCTTCAGTCTAGGGGCGAGAAGCGACATTCGTAATTACTGTTGAATCGGGCCCCCTTCTTCGAAGCCTGAAATCCTTGAGCCGTCAACTCTAGCAGCGCTGCTGAGTTGCTGAAGCCAAGCAACGTGCATGGGAGATTGAGCAGCTTCTGGACTGTAACAATAACATCGCCTAAGCCAGAAACCCCTTGTACTCCTTGAAATCGTGAATCTCTCCACCCTCCCAGCAGGCCAATTGCCAATCCAGTTTAAATTTCACTGGAATCTATCGCCAAGCTTCCTGCTGTTATTTAGAAGGCCCCTACATTCAACCCTTATGATCCGTTGTTATGGACACTCTTACAGACAAGAACCCTTAATCTTTATCAATAAGGCCCCTATATCAAAGACCAGGACCTGCTGCAGCGACTTCATGATGAGGTCTACACGCCAGCCGAGCCCTCAGTGCTGAGCGAAATGTTCCGGGTTTAGGGTTGGGGGTTTGGGGTTGGGGGTTCAGGTTAGGGTTTAGGGTTTGGGGTCTAGGGTTTAGGGTTGGGGGTTGGAGGCTTAGGGTTTAGGCTTTAGGGTAGGGTCAAGTCTCTTTGGAATTTAGAAGCGAGGTTACATGCTCTTGTGGATGAGGCCCGCAGGCGCACAAGATGTCCAAAACCTCCATCCGCCCCAGAACAGTCAGGCCCCAAACCTCAGAGCCCAAAGCCTAAAACCCTTAAGCCCTAAAGCCGAAAGGGCCGCATTAGATCGTGCCAACTCCAGGTCTCAGCTATGCCCATGAGAGCACAGAGGGTCCCAGAATTACTACAAAGCAGAAGCCTTGCTTTAGTTTCAGATCGACATTCCTTCACAAGAACCCAATGATTCCAAGCTCAGGAGGAGCCCTCTACCCACAGGCCCAGAGATCAATCAAAAGCCGTATGGCTTTAGGGGCTGGTTGTATGGCAGCTACCTTGGAGTTTTACTCTGTAGGGTCTAGGGTTTGGCTTGATAATACAATCTCAGTCCGTGCTTAAAAAAAGGGTTCTCAAGCAAATAATTGGGCCCGTCGCGAAGCCCCTTGCCTGCCTTGTGTGAGTGGGAGGGTCGCGCTCCAAACACGCGCATCGGACGCCAGGTCATTTCCATGCATCCTTTGTTCGGGCACCTGTCGCAGACGGAGGTGGCGGTGTACAGGGCGGGGGGGATAGGCCCTTGATGTTAGACTTCTCCCGCGCATATCGCATGCATTCCTTGACGGATGGTTTCTTGAGAGTTGAACATGCGTCGAACCTTAACAGGCAGGAAACTTTCTGCAACAAAAGTTGCCAACAGCTCTGAAACATCTCGAAGAGCATCCTTCAATCAATATAAACCGTTGAGCCAACAGAACACTTGTAGCTATCGACACGTACGAACAGAAATCCAAACATGCTCAAATGTGCCGAGAAGATCCCGAACAACTACAAGAAGTTGCAGAAGCCACAGCAAAACGTACAGAACATGGCAAGCACCCGAACAATACAAACATAGAGACTAGAGAACAGGCGAACATATGTTTGAAAATAGGAAAAGCAAAAGACGGAGGATTCCACAAGATTCCCAAACCATCCGACAGTGAGAAGTCTCGGATCTGTTAAACACCTTGTGGGATGAGCATGGAATATAAAGAAATGATGAAATGATGGTCGTTTTTTAAACATGCAGAACTGTATGCTGCAGAAGTGTATGCTGTATCAGAGCAAGAGGCAAGCCCGCACAGATGCTCGCATCTGTCATTTTTGGCAAGACTGACCTAAACCCTAAACCCGACCAAACAATGAAGGCAGCAGTGTCTGTGGCATCCACCAAACCTCGGCGCCCGCTGCGCCAGGAACCGGTGCTCAGTAACATCTGCCACTTGGCCATGTCTGTGGCTCGGACAGCAATAGATAAGAGTCTCGGTGTGCGTAGATAGTTTACGGTAGGTGCATAGCAAAGCTTTCCCTAGTTTAGCCTGGCTCAGCTCGCACTAGCAATCGCATCTGATGCTTGGACTCTTCATGGATCTGTCTATCTCACAAGCATGCCGTGAGATTCGGCTTAATCCGACCCGAGGACGGTTCTGAGCAGTTGGACAGCGAACACAGATGTGGGGCTTACTGTACGTAGGGTTCAGTTTTAATCTTGTCGTCGATGTGCATGCAGTTCTCCATAACGTTCGACCGCTGTTGAACTTGTGAATCGCACTGCCCCAGGAGCGGTTGACAGTACTGGGCAATTGGGTGCACAGGGTCTTCTTCTTGAATGGTCCCTGCCTGTTCATGTGGAGGAGATCCTCCTGTCCTCCTGGACACCCTTTACTGCTTTTTGTTTATTCGAAGGCTCGAAAGCAAACGAGTAGTGGCCTCCCTGTGACGGGTGTCGTCGTCATGGGCCCGATGTCGCCGAAGTGGGGCAGTGGGGGCTGCGGAAGTTGAAGTCAGGGATTTCCTCTTCCTACTACATATATACAATTTAAAATGCACATACATACATACGCACACATATACATACATAATATATATATATATATATATATATATATATATATATATAATACATATGTATCGTCGCCGAAAGCACAAAGCTGAGGAGAAGAGCTTGGTTTATGGCGAGGCCGGGTGCGCTTACGGGGATGCTGGGAGGGTGGGCTCACGGAGACGGAGTCTTCTTGCGGAATCTCATGGAGACTATGTACTCGAAATTAACAGCATGAAGAGGGTTGCACAACCTTCAAACCCTAAGTAGCCCGAGTATGCGATGCCATTTGCCAGTCCTTCAAAGGTGCTGAGCTCAGCTCCTGCCGCGGTAAACTCTCATGATGACCTCCGGCGTGTGCAAAGCTCTAAATCACTCTCACTCGGTTAGACTTGCGACGGCGATGTGACTCCCCGATCCTCGCCTGACAATCCTAAGCCAGAACTGCCCAGCGCCCGAAAACTGGATTCCTGTAGTATAGAACATCGTTGCTATCCAGTCTCTGTCCGGCCTTACGGTACGACATACCTGTCTGCATCTACAGGAAGCCAAATCCTTCCCACGAAAAGCATGAAACCATAAGATCAACACCGCTGTTTTACACTTTCCGGAGGAGCTTTTCCGCTCCGGCGTACGGGGCGCCCTTGGCTTTTCCTTGTAGTTGTGTAAAGCTCCTCCAGGGCTTGGTGGGGTTTTTTGGGGGCTTCATAGGGTTTTAGAGTGGTCTTCAGACCTGTGGGGTGAAGCGTTCGGGTGGTCAGATTTCATGACCTTTGCTAGCTACCTTTGAGTGAGGTTCTCTGGTTCTGTGCAACTCATGAGACTGCTTTCCCGACATCTATATCCCTCCTGTTTCAAGGTGGCGATATCCCCGAGCCCCTCCCGGAGAAGGATCACAGTAGTTAGAATTCTCCCGGAAGATGCAGCATGCTGTGTACGATGAGGCAGCATAGCGTACCCCAACCTTCTAAAGTTCCTAAACCCGAACCAAATGCAAACTAAACC